GCATCATACCTGATTAAGCAATCGTATGTATTCTCTCCACTTGCATATTCATGTGTTCCCGTAATGGCATAATCACATCATCTCAGGATGCTTTGCCCCTACTATCCTAATAATATCATAAAGAGCATCAACATTCAAATAATACCTCCTACAAACCCCGCGGCAATGCGCGGGGTTTCCACCTAGTTAACATGTAATCGGGTTACCATCCAAGGAAGCTTTAATTTGCGTCTATATGTATTGTCTTCATTTATATCTAGATTAGATTATAATGAACTTTTGTTGACATACTGGATATGAATTGAATTGGGTACTAGTTTCATAATCGGGTTTCATCTTCAAAATGGAAACTAGTTTCATAATTTTTTGAGCTAAAACAAAATTTCTTTGACTTTTTAAGATTAAACTAGATTTTAGGGTTTTTAATTGCATTATTTTTTCAAGTAAAGTATTTAGACATTTCTTGAAACTTACTTTTTATTATTTTTGGATATTTTTATACAAATATTTCTAGTGCAATTCACCTCTTGGAACTTTGAATTTAGTCTCATCATCCCCATGACTTGGCACCACATTTTAAACCACCATTAAAACGTTTAGTGTGCAACAACGAATGATTTTTAAAAGTTGAGTGGGGTTAAAAAGTTCGGTAGGTTCTTGTCATTTGTCATTTGCCAATATTGGACATTTGGTGAAGGCCGGATGGGGATAGCGCTCACCTGATACTTGGACTCGAAGGGGTTTTGTAAATTAGAGAGGAAACACATAAGACCGCGATGACGAGAGAGGTAAATTGGAATGTTTCCTTGGTAGAATGAACTTTTTCGTTAGGCCCGAGATGAACAGGCCTTTTCTATGGTCTGGCCCGGCCTGCTCCGACCCAACATCCTCTCGGTTGCCCCTGCTCTGCCCGAACTCAAAGGTGGCAATGTCCAATTACTCCCTGGCACCTACGTGTCCAGATCATCTTGCTCCGCTTCCAGAACCCTCCCCTACTTTCTGCCGTTGTGTTGCGCCGCGCATCCATCATCTCTATGGTTTCTCAGATGGCTTTCACCACCGTGGTGTTCATCATCCTTGTCACCGTCGCCCCCACCATCGCCGCCGCCTCTGTCACCACCGTCACCGTCTTCTCCATCTCCACCATCATCGGTACGAACCATATGCCGTATGATGCTACGCTCACGATGGCAATGGCGTGTGCATATTCGATTTCTCAGCTGTCCGGACCCTGCTGTGCAGTGGTCTTCTCCGCCGCCAGTGGCGGAGCCAGAGATTTGCAGCTGGGTATGTCACGCATAAAAAAATCAAAGCAAATATGTAATATAATGGACCATAAGTAGCATTTGTTGTGGATGTGGAGACTGTTTTTTTTTGCCTTCGCAGCTTTCTCCCACAATGTCAATATGCTACTTCATCTACATTACAAGAATACAATCAAAAAATAAGAAAAAGAAATCTTCAATAGTTCAAATTTCATACACTGAAGAATCGATCAGGGGTGTTCTGCTCACCTTGCTTCAAGCCGCCGAGGGGGAGGGCAAAGGGCCGAACACGGACGCTTGAAGGGCGCCGCCTACCGTGGCCGTCGGTGGATGGCTTCTTCAGCGCCAGGAGGGGGCAGCGGGGAAAGGGGCAGGGCCGCAGGGAGAGTGGGGAGGTGTCTTGGCTGCGGGCTGTTCGCCTGCTGGCACATGTGCGCAAGGTGTGGCGAGGCTGGCGAGAGCAGGGGTGGCGCGGTTTTGCCTCTCGCGAGCGAGAGCGACGGATAGGAGCCGGCGAGGGAGAGCGAGACAGGCAGACAATGAGTCAATGGGTTTCTGCATTTTTGGGCTTTGTTTCTTCGTGGGCTGCTAGAACTAATTGGTGTATTGGGCTGATTTGCCATATTTGCAACATAAAACGGGATGTATCAGTATACATGTAAATCTGTATAGATATATTTATTGTAGTGTCACAAAATCTTGGGTATTCCAAGGAATACAGGGGCATACCCCTGGCGCCGCCCATGTCCGCCAATGAGGACGGCGGGATCATCTTCTTGTGTCGCGTGCATGAGACACCGTACACGATTGCGCTTGGATTTGACTGACGATTCTTCACGAACGCTTACGTCAAGTGCGGCGGCCAGCTGCTAGATGCATCGGACATCAGTACAATCTGCATCGATGATGAGTTACCACCTAGTACGTTTACACTAAACCGTAAGCCCCAACACACGACACAGAGGATTTTATGGTTTAACTATTGTTTCCTCATTACCTGATGACTGATGTGTTAATATTGTCTGATGTATGGAGACATCATCATTTTTTATGAACCTATTCCTCACATGGATGGTGCAGTTTCACAAGCCCATGCCATGTGACATACATACTCAAAGCTTATACATTACTTGCCAATTTCATTGGTTCAGATATAGTGTATTTATTGCAGCCTAGAGATATTTTATTGTTGTCATGGTATTTTTGTAGGCTTATTGCGCTCAGGCAGATAATGGATGCTCATGTCTACGATGGTCCGTTAGATTCGTCATAAGTGCCCATCTACCTCTCTTATTGGCTTCTTAATGCTAAGTTATACTTTTTTAGACCTGGGAATTAATAGAAATATAGCACGATGATCTATAGAATTAATTTCCATCTCCCACCTTCTGAATTTAAGATAGGTTTATATCGGAACTTAAAAGTTGTGGAATGTGAAGTTCCAATCCAAAAGTCCATTAAGTAGATTCTAATTTCTCTAAAATGAAAGATCCAAATAGGCCGTTGGTTAGATATGGATCATGAGAGAGGTTGGAGTGGAGAGAAAGAGAGAACCAAAATGAGTGAGAGGCCAGCCCCCCTCTCCACCTTCCCCCTTTCTCCTTTTTATAGAAAAAAGGTGGGAGGGGAGGTTTTCATTATTCCTTCGTTGGGTCTTGTATTTTACACTGGAGCCTCTAGGGCTACAGATGGGGCCTTAAACTTTATTCTACAAGCCCATAAGGTATGTAATTGAGCCCTGAAAACACCAATAGGGTCTCTAACATATAGTACACCCCAACAATAGCTCCTCAGCTATTCGGTTTTGATCGAAAGTACAAGACCCAATAGCTGAATATAATTAAGTGCGGCCCAATTACAACTCAGTCTCGACAAGCAGCCCTTGTCTATATAGAGACAATCTATGGATGATTTTGTTGTTAGTTAGTCTTCGGTATCGACCTTCGCTCGAACCTCCATGACCCTGTCTATGGTAGAGCCCTTGATACCTTCCTTTCATATAATTGAGCCTTTGCCAAAGACATTAACGTAGTCGAAGTAGGCAAAGTAGTCAACATAGGTGAGGTAGTTGTAGATGATCACGACCCGTCTTCAAGCTTTCACTACACTGGATGTTCTTAGATGTCCCTTTCAGCTCCGGTCAATCCGCTTTATAGAGGGGAGGTACCAGAACATTTGTTGTTCTTAGTCTTATTAATTTGGCAACCATTCAGTATCACATGCTCACATTTGCTCTCTGACTTTCATTTCTTAACAAAACATACTACAATTGTACATCTACTCAACTATTCACTGAATTCTTACTTTATCTAGCTACTTTGCTTGTTAGTGTAGGTGACCAAGGGTTTTTCTAGGTATATGGGTGGCAATCTAATTTTAGGATTGATGGTAACTAGATTTGGTAGGTTCACCGCATTGTTGAATGGTTGCGTGCTTCTTGTCAAACAAGCGTAAGAAGTGCCAGTGAAAGCCTTGTACCACCTTGAATGTAATGCTCTTGAAATTTTGAAGACTTCCTTTTAAAAATAAGTGATTATGGCATAACACAATCAGAATTTCATTTGAAATACACATTACACACAAAATAAAATAATATGTAAGTAAAATTTTGAAACATAATACCATCACAACGCCGATCACACTCAACCAAGACCTATATATGAAACTTTCAAGTTTACCTGTCTCTATGAACACGTTTTGCTAGTGTCTACCTTACTATTGTGTTTCAAAAAAAAAGCTACATGGAAGTATGTGCAAGTGTCTACCTCACTATTGTAAAAAAAAGCTACATGGAAGTATTCTACGTACACATGATAGCTATTAAAAAACACATCAAGAGAAATGATAATAAACAAATTGAACATATTTCAGCTAGTTAGGTTGCTTAGAGTGATACCCTCTTGTTCGGGTTCAAGTTCGACTTAGCACAGAGTATGTATTTTTTTTACTTTATTCTTGTAAGGAATAATACTATCCATTCCAATGATAATTGACGTCTTCATCAACATTGAGATGTCTATGATGACTTTAATATCAATCTTAAAATATACCCTTTAATTTTTAGAGATGTTCATAGAAGTATGATATATATACGTGCTTATGTAGACTGAGTTCGTGTGTATGTGCAAGTGTCTACCTCACTATTGTGTTTCAAAAAAAAAAAAAGAATGCTAAGACAGACCAGCAAAATGCAGCAAGCAAATGTAATTAATAGAATAGAATTAGGGAGTTGAATAGATGATTATCATGGACCAAACACATACTATATATATACTGAATTCCAGTTACATCGGCCAAAATTTCGTCTCTATCGTGTACACGTCCACAAAATTCCAACAATCCCATCTAGCTCGACTGCGACCTGGGACCCCTCTATGGCCGTGCACTAAATATTCGTATTATATCCACTAACTTACAGAAAAAGTGAGAAAAGGATGAAGCTATCAACTACTACCATACATGCGTATAATCGTGTAAATATATATCTAAGAAAATGCACAATAATGTTTTCAATCAATTTTGCATCGCAGCTGTCTCTTTCGGCACGGGTGAATCACACTGTCGTTGCTGGGGCTCTCAATATATCTCGCAGCACCGTGTGAGCACCACCGGCAGGCAGGTGGTGCGTCCATTTCTCGTTTCTGTCCTGCATTTTCCAGTGTGCAGGAGCACGATTGTCTCGTGGCCTGTCCCGCGACCGGCGTCGCGTCATTGTGCAGTGGGGCTAGCTTGTGATTAGTACAGAGCACCTGCTAGCGCAAGGGACACGACGGCGATGAGGACCTCGTGGTGGCCGGACGGCAGCCGTGCCGCGGCTGTGGCGGATCCGAGCTGGTCGCCGCCGAGGTACACCATGGTGGCGTTCATCAGCGGCAGGCCTCCTTGCGCCCCGGCCGCTTTGACGCTGCAGTTACATAGGAAAACACACAAAGGTAGTGAGAAACTACAGGTTTTTTCTATAATGAGTCACATGTATGTCAAACCATTAAAACCAAGTACAAAGATTTAGGATCCTATGTCTCAAATAATAACCTTGTAGCAACCTAACTATGACAGGAGAGTCATCATAGTGATTCTAACAGAGGGGCTCATATGCATGGGTATAAAGTAATTTAGAAAAAAAATAATCTGTCTTTCTGCTCGAGCAAATCGGTGATGTCCCCGTGGGGACACTGAGCCTAGAGAGAGAAGTAGCCACAACGAAGACATAAAGATCCTCTTCATTACACTTCAATAGTACAATTGACTCTCCTGTTCATTGTCTAATCGACCTGTATCTTTGAGGATCAGAGATCCTGAGCTTCTCTTCTTGATTCTATAGAGAGAATGGGAGGAAGGACACCAGAGAAACGGGCAACAAGGAATAGGGTCGGCCCGGGCAGGTTTTGGGAGGAGTGTAGCCTAACAAGAGGAAGAGGAGAGAAATGCATGGAATCGGGACAATTTTGAGGAAAACTGTAGGTTGGTCAAGAAAATTGCACGTTAGTCACGCCTATAGACTAGATGGCCAAACAGGACAGGCCCGCTGGGCCGGCCCGGGCATGACACAAGAAAACATGGCCTCAGCATAGCACGACACGGGGCCCATAGTGCCAGTGCCGGCACAGGCACGGGTGTAGTGTCGCGCCTAGGCCGTGACTTTGGCCCACAGTGCCGGCATAGGCACAACACAGAAATTGGGTCGGCACGATGCAGCCCGATCACTTTCCACCATTGGATGACCTCGGATACATTAATAACTGTTAGATGCATGTAAAGGAGTATATAAACAGAACCTAAACCCTAGCTCCCATATCGTGATCCCTCTCTCGGCCACCTCTCCCTCAATCTGCGTGACCGTGCCTCTCTCTCTATCTTACGAATCCCCATGCCCTCTTTGTATCTCGTGATTCTCTTCTGATGTCCGGCGTCCACCGGCCTCCCCTCGAGGGTACTAAATAGCGTATATTGGGTTGGTGTCGAGGTAGCGGATCGCAGATAGCGGGTGCTATTTGCGGATGCTAAGTTTCAATAGCGGCATATGATCATTGTGTAAATTTAAGCATATAAATCATGAATAATTGGTATAAATATACATTTAATTGTACTCAATGAACTGAGGTTTCACATACTTAAATGTTGAAAAAACATGGTGTTTTATGTAAGTCATCCTACATATCAGAGTTTATAAAGAAATAGATTATGAGAGGCATAAATAGTTTATAAGATTATTATTCATTATTATAGTAAAAAATAACAACCTTATCGCTCTCATGATCAATTCAACCATGTGTATCTTAAGTGGGCTAAGATTATTAATTTATTATATACCATACCACGCTATTATGGCCGCTACAAAGAATTATGGACCGCTATAGCGCGGCCCGCTAACTCAAATAGCGACCCGCTATGTTCCAACTTACTAAATCCAGTCCGCTGCGTCGTAGCGGTCTCACTATTGCGGCTGCTACAACCTCTATTTAGTACCTTGCTCCCCTCGCGGCATTGCGCGGGCACGCAGCCCCGCCTAGCCACCTCTCGCCTTTTCCACCTCGCGGAGCCGCTCGCGCGACCTCTTTCTTGCGCAGGCAGAGGCGGCGCGGCTCTGCCTCACGTGGCACGACGACGGCAGTGGGCTGCGTGGCGGTGGTGCGTGGTGACGGTGAGGTTCGAAGGCGAAGTGGGGCGGCAACAGCAGAGGCTTGTACACGGTGCGGCGACGGCGAGGCTCGGACATCCTCGCGCATAGGGCCAAGGTCGGCACGGGCACTGGGGCTGCGACCTGAGTACAGTGACATGGCACGCCGTCGTGCCTGATAGTGTCGTGCCCTTTCGTGTCATGCCAAATCGTGCCAGGGTGCGGTTAGATCCGGGCCGCCCGTTTGGCCATGTATAGTCACGCCGTGCCGGTTGGCCATGTATAGTCACGCCGTGGGCTCGTGCAGAAAACAACATATGATGCCATAAAAATCACACGGAAGACGGGAAGAGGCGTGTATACACAGAGCAGTGTGGTCAACACCTCAATCAATTCGTGGTCCACCGGGGCCAACAAAACACCCAAGCGGCGGTTGATCGATGCTGACTCGCGGGACGCGGACGTGGACATGGACGTGTGACGGACGCGTACGCGCACGCGCCGCTCGGCATATGGGGGTGGGCAGGCGGGCGGCACCGCAGTTGCTGCCGACTGCCGACACGGCTGGCCATGGACGCGGCCGGACACGGTTGCGGTGGCTGGCCGCTGGGCTGACCTCACCGGTGCGCGTCAGGCGTCACTAAACTGAGCGCACCGAGCGCCTTGTGCGGTGTGGCCTGTCTGTTGCCGACCTGTTTTGTTGAGAAACGGTGATGAGCTGGTGCTTGCCTTCTTCTAGCTTCTGGAGCCACGGAGAAAGGTGTTTTGGTTTGACGCAATTTGTCTCGCAGAGTCATGCTTACGCACACCAAATTAAAAAAAATGAATCTTTTTTGTGACACTACACTAGTCACGAACAAGAAAAGAAACCTGAGATTTTCTTCAAAAGAGAAGAAACCTGAGATCGCTACGCTAAGAGCCCGGCTTCAGTAGCAAGTGATGACGTACGTAACGTATGTGTATTTACCTGGTTGTGCTGGGGCAGAAGGTGATGGCGTACGTGGTGTCGCCGCCGGCGCAGGTGAAGGTGGAGGTGGCGTCGTCGTACGCGTAGCTGTACGCCCGGGGGCACGCGTTCTTGAAGAACTGCGAGTACGCCGACGGCTTGCACGTGCTGGGGTTCCCGTACTCGCCGTTGCAGCAGTACTGCGCCGACCCGAACGCCTCGCACGCGCTCTTGCAGGCCACGCCGCCGCCACCGGAGGACGACGACGCCGTCGTCGACGCCACGCGCAGGTCGGCGGGGCACGCGCCGTTGAGGTCCACCATACATCCAGTTGGCACGCAGCTGCCCCCCGCGGCAGCAGCGGCGCCCTGCGGCGCCACCAGCATCGGCAGGTTGTACCCGTCGACCAGGCTGACGTCGTAGAAATCCATGCCCCCGCTGCCGTCCATGGTGAACTCGGCAAGCGTGGCCGGCGGGGCGGCCCCGCTACCGGCGCAGTCCTGCTTGCCCGAGCCGCAGTCGCCGGTCACGCAGCTGAACGCGCCGTCGGTGGAGGTGGAGCAGAGCGTGCGGCCCCACAGGCGGCCCGACCACCCCGACGGCACGCTCATGGCGCGCGATTCCCCCGGAGCCAGCGCGAAGCCTGTGGTGTCCATCTCCGCGGAGCCAGCGCTCGAGAGGATTCCTGGCCAGACCGTGTGCTCGCAGTTGTTGGTGATGGTGAACGACTTGGACGTCGCACCTGCTCCATCCAGCACCAATAGCGCAGCTGGATTAGCAGACATGCATTTCTCCGATGGATTGGAATAGCAAGAAACGGATCAGATTCGGAACAGCAGCAGCCTTACCAATAGTTGAGGCAGCGAGGGCAGCTACGAAGCTGACCAGCGCTAGGTGGTGTGCTCTCGCCATAATATTGCTGCGGCGTGCAGAGGCGAGAGCTCTCCGCTTCCACTTCTGGGCTGTGGCACCAAGATATATGGGCAGGCCAGGCGTCCCGTGTGGTTAGGATGGAAACGTGACTTTTGTTGCCAACGGTGTGGGGCATGAGCCGCTGATATTTTTTATATAAGAAAGCGTAATTGTTATGGGACCCACTACACTCCGATTTTTGTTAACCAATCTGCTCACATATTGCGATTGTATTAATAATCTATAGAGGTGTTGAATCTCTTCTGTGAGATAGGAATATTCATTATTACGAGAAGATGACGGAATCTTATCTTACTATTACTAATAAACACTTTAGAAGAAAGATAAATCCTATAAATTCTCATAACAGTCAAAAACATTTGTCCTTTGATTAGCATAACTCTAATCATTATCAATATCATCATCATCATCATCATAAATAATAGCCATTTAATTTAATTTGTTTCATAAAAAACTTACCCATCCCGCCTTTAAGAAAAATACATAAAGTAACCCTCAATTTGTATATAGTATTACCCAACTCTTTTATTATCAAACATAATCAAAGTAAATCACAAAATTTGCATCTAAATTACCAACCTCTATTATTGTACTCCCTCTGTTACAAATTATAAGTCATTCCAACTTTCTTGAAGAGTCAAAGCATCTTAAGTTTTGCCAAAATTATAGAGAAGATTATAAAGATTTATGACATCAAATATGTATACTATGGAAATAGAATTAATAAAGAATCTAATGATACTTATTTGATATCTTATTATTTCATTATATTAATTTAGTTAAATTTGAGATGCTTTGACTTTTCAAAAAAGTTAAAATGACTTATAATTTAGGACAAAGGGAGTAAAAGCTAGATTTTCCATTACGACCATTCTGAAAGATAATTTAAAAATAAACCATAGATACTATTTTATAAATTACATGCATGTGTCAGCGGTAATGTAAAATGACCCCCTATATTTGCATTCATTTTTTATAGACATAAATTTATAAGTTTTAATTTATATATAAATTATCCACCTACAAGCTATCAAGAAAAATAATTCAATCTCTGTAGAGTATGCTATATATATTTATAAATTACAAACTTCTACAATTATTAAGTTAAAAATAAGCATAATGATATTTTCTACCATGTAGATCAAGTAAACATGTATATATTAGGATAAATATTTGTTTTTATAGTTTATCAAGCACAATGTATTTCCTTAACAAACTACATAGTCATGACACCAACAATTCAATTCAAGTTATATCAATACTCTACCATAATAAGTTTTGTAAGTTGTTATTCTAAACAAGTTAAACATTTCACTATAACATTATGTCATATCAATATTGGTAATTTAATTTTAAGCCCTCTGTTTTTTATAATACAATGTTACTATATATATAATTGTTTGATACAACAAATGCAACATGTTAAGTGCCACGGTCCAAGTTTAAACTACTATTTATGCCATTGCAAGAACCAATAGAATAACCTAGGACCTATGATTTTTTAGCAAATTTTGAATAAAATAGATATAACAAGCACTAGAGTTTCATCTTAACAAGCACTAGAGTTTCTACCCTTGTCTCCAACCTCAGGCTCTTCACTGATTATTTGTCGTAACACACCGCAACTGCTGATTCATTGTCGTCCTTCTCCGACCACCTGCTCCCGCGCAATGGGACCTAGGCGGGGATAGGCATGGTCGGAGGAGGAGGCGGACCTAGGTGGGCAGGTGGTCGAAGAAGGACGGCGATGAATCGGTGGCGCGGTGGTTTGTTATGGCATATAATCAGTGAAGAGCTTGAGGATGAAGATAAGGTTAGAAAAGACATTTCCTCCACTTTCCCTCACTGAAAAATGAGGAATGAATAAAATAATCAGTACAGTGTGTTATGACAGATATACATAGTTTTATAGTGGTACTTGGAATAATTCGTATTGGCGGTGTGTTTCGACCAATTTTACATTTGAATGGCGTCCTGCAGACCGCGTCCACATGGAGCCGGCACAGCGGAGCGCACCTACCGTGCTAGTAACCAAGATTCTAGGAGTCCTTTTTGAAAAAAAATCGGAGCCCACCGAATTGGACGAAATTCAAAAAATTCAAACCGGTATCCACTCAAAGTTTGAATGAAATTTGATCAAATTTGGACAAAATTTCCCCCAAACAGTCAGAAGTGGCCGTGGGCATGGAGAGAGGATGTATGCAAGGCCAGCGTGGAACGCGTAGGCGGCGAGGAAGACAGCGGCGATGCGGTGGTGGCAGCAAGAGGTTCAGATGGCAGCGACGACATGTTAGGGGCGGTGAAGGCGCGACGGCGGGTGTCGAGGAGCAGCTATGGCATGTGGCGTAGCGTTGTGAGGAGCATCCATGAGCGAGCTCGGATGTTGGGGGAAGCGACCACGACTCTCACGGTGGCTGCAGGAGCACTGGCGCAGGCGGCGGGGAGTGGAGACGGCACCGCTAGCGGCAGCTCGCAAGCAAGCGACGTTGGCTAGGCACCGTGAGGAAGGTTTTCAGCGTCGTATAATGTCTGTGGGTTATTTGTTGGGCCACAGAATGGGCTGAAAGTTTGAATCGGGCTGAAATGTTTTGGCCGTTTTTTTTTTATCTCGGGCTGGATCAAAATGGACGAATTTCAGTGACCGAGAACCCCTGCTAGTAACCTATAACACGGTGGTATTGCAGGGTCTCTTGTGTGTCGACTGCGAGAGACACAGTTTGTTTCAGTTTCACACCCAGCAAGTTTTGCCCCCATCACTAACGTGCCGCTCGTCAGCGAGGAAGGGCCGCCTCATTTTTGAGCTATATATAGCGCCATTCATTGGCTCCCCGTCCCCTATTCCCTCTCCAAGTGCTCCAGACCCACCACCGTACCGCGCTCGGCGGACTCTCTGCTGCTTGCCTGCCATCGTGTCACCCACCGGCCACCGGCGGCGTGGAGCGAAGCCAGCGAGCGAGCACGCCAGATAGCAGATCGAGGTTCCAGCTGCGTCGTATCAGCGCTCGAGCATAGCGACTAGCCTGCGCGTGTGCGTGCAGAGGGAGGAACAGAGAGAGCTAGAGATCGAGAGCGAGAGATTAGGAGGGAGGGAGGGGTTGATCCGGCCATGGTAGGAAGGATGCGCGGCGGAGCCATGGAGTTCGAGGACCGCCTGGCCACCCTTCCCCGCGTCCGCGGCGACCTCGACGACGACGGCAAGGAGAGGAGGACAGGTACGTCAAAGCATCCATCGATCCATCCCTCCACCACAGAGTTAAAAATACATAAAAATGGCATGCATGGATTTCTGCTTGCTCGCTTCTTGTATCTTATATTCATTGTTTCCCTGAATGTTTCGTGCGTTGGGACTGCGCGCGGCCGTGTCGTCGTTCCGTGATTCGCCCTGGCCGTGCAGAGGCGAAACCAAATATTTCCCCGCCGAGAATTAAATCGGGTGCCGGTCGTCCCCTACTCCCTACCATCGATAGACTATCTCAGGATGCACCTACTGCATGCTAAGTTGCTAACCCAGCATTTACTGTCCCTTAGCTTGATTATCTGCGCAGCTAGAAGATTCTCCTGTAATTATTACTCTAGGCGTGCATGCATGAGATGGCTGCTGCATGCTGTTTCTCGTTGAGCCGTATTACAGCTTGGATTTCTAAATCACTAACTTTAATTTCTGCCAGACAAAAACAGATGGAATAGGCTAACATTTGAGAGCGAGGGTGATGAACATTCTAGACTCGAATCAGAGTGCATTTATACGTGCTTCTGTTTGAGTGTTTTATTCTCTTCAGCATATTTGACAAAAAGGAAATGATTGGACTTAAAATGTTTTTCTTTTTCTTGGCATCTCCGGTTGTGGAGGGCCTGGTTCAAAATATTTTGAGCACACGAATTTGTAGAATATTCATGCACTGATTCTTCTGTTATTTAAGGAAGGGGAAGTAATAAACTGATAAATATGTGCCTGCCTCACTGGCGCCCTGCGTGCATGAGCAAGAACCAGCACATCATGTGCGCCCAGGTGTTTCATTTCATTCATTAAAAGCTGCCAAAAATAGGACTGAAAGCTAGGATTGTGGTTACTGTTTTGTTTCCACTTATTGTACTCTTTTCCAAATTCCTATTTATGTTCTTGGATGAGCACAATTAATTAGTATTGTCTTTATATGTGAGGATTTTAATTCCCTTCCACACATCCTTATTACTGCCAATTTTTCCACACATATCCTTACATTAGTTAGATTGTAATATGGAAAATCCTTCTGCTCAAGAAAATACTCTACTGGCACTTACTTGGGGCGACCCTTGATAAGTGTTAAAATAATCTATTGGCATGGGTATGCTCCTTTTAGGTAGCCTTATCTTTTTTTCCTCTAGCCATGTACCCTATGCCACCAGGAGTTTCTTTGGTGTTGTTTACCTTACTTTTCCTTTTTCTTCTTCTTCTTCTTTTTATTTATTGGGTCCAACACTTGGGCTTGAAGTTGTCTCCTTTCCAAACTATTTTCTTTGTTCTATGTCAAACTTTGACCAAGTTTATTAAAAAAATACACAACATAAATTTGTTTCATCAAATTCTTCAAGAAATATATTTTGAAGTGTATCTATTTGAATTTGTTAATGCTCATAAAACTCACATAAACCCTACCAATACCGGACTTATAGCAAAGGCCTTGTTTAGTTCATCCCCTTAAAGTTTAGTCTCTATCTCATCGAATGTTTGGACACATGCATGGAATATTAAATATAGACTAAAAAATAACTAATTGCACATATTACGACTAATTTACGAGACGATTTTTTTAAGCCTAATTAGTCCATAATTTGATAATGTGATGCTACAGTAAAGATACAATAAACATATGCTGATGACAGATTAATTAGGCTTAATAAATTCGTCTCGCGGAGTGCTGAGGACTTCTGTAATTTATTTTATTATTACTATCCGAACACTTTCATATGATACCCCGATGTGATACCCGATGTGACACTGCTAAACTTTAGTCCCTGAATTTAAGCAAGACATGTATAATCCAAACATGCGGCTCCCCTGGTGGGCCTTACCATGGAAGTAGCCCAGAGGACTTAGAGGTTCTCCTACCTTCCATAAAGACTTAGAGGTTCCCCTAACTTCCATACACGTAGGGATGAAACCAGATCTGATATTACATTCTATCTCATATCCTATATTATATTCCTTTTTTTCTTGATCTCAGAAACCGAATATAGATACGTCGGATATTGATATATATACATTTCAAAAATCCAATTCTAAGTATTCGGATTTGAATATGGTCGGATATTAAATGTTCAGATTATACGATCATTCATATAGGGTTTTGACAACCGTAAATATGGGTTCCGATTTCATCCCTACTACGAGACCATGACATAGGCACGGCTTCCAGCTAGCAGAAGGCCGATGTGAGAAGTAGAAAGAACGGTGGATATGATGCAGAAGCTGCACGCAGAGAGGCGGCCGATCTCTCTCCCAGGCACTGAATGAATGCCGCCAAATAACAACCTAGCTGCGGCGCTACCCATGTGCATGCGTCGACTCGTTGCGATCGATCAGAGCAAGTATAATAACAGGTTATAAGCTAGTTAAATGCTGAGGTAGAGAAGAGAGAGGAAAAGCAGGCTGTAAAGTTACAGTTAGTTTGGGCATAAGAACCAAAAAACTTTGTGAGAGAGACAAATGAGCTATGTATTAATAGTAAAGAGCTAACTAATATATAGCTAGGCTAAAAGAAAGCTACAAAGAACCTTACAGTCACCAAGCCGGTTATATTATTAGCCTTGCTCTCATGCATATAACGAGCGCGCCCTAGCTAGCAGCCTGTTCGGGAGGCCATATCGTATCGTGGATTATTTACTACTGGCTGGTTTGATGTGAGAGAAAAACACTGTTCCTGGCTGGAAATTTACGATCGTTTACGAGCAAGCGAACAGGCCGTAGCTTAGCCGCTATCCATTGATGACCTCCGTGATGATTTCCTGTAGCTTTCTCGCCGATTCTTGCTTATATGGCTCTCCTCTGCTGCTTACTGCATGGCACACGCCGAAAGAGAGAGAGAAGGTTCCGTATGCCTTTCTGTCCGTCTGTCCTTTTGTGACTTTAAATTTGTCGTCGTCGATATTCTGATCGTCGTTCTGTTACGATGAGAGGCGGTTTGATGCATGCGTCGTCGACGACGACTGTTTTGTTTTCGTGTTGATTATATTGAGTGCAGATGGTACGCATTTCTTCCTTTATTTCTGCATGCATTGAGTGAGGACAAAAGAACGCTTGCTCCTAGACAATCTACCGCTGCTGCTACTACTACGTGCCCAAATCCTGAAGCAGCACCTATTATGCCCGATCGGTCCATGCGTGTTCAATTTTGGAGATCATGCATATGCTACCTAGCCAGATTATATAAGAGAGATTTTTTCAACCTGTTAGTTATAATTCATTTGGGCCGTTCTTTTTCTTAACGTGATATGGCTTTGGATCTGACTATTTCGCAGCAACTCGAGAGAGAGAGTCCTCAAATCAGATTCTCTACTTTTATTTTCAGGGCTTTTTCTATTTTTGAGGTCTTATTTTTTTCCATTAGTGCTCAAGTTAGGGCCTCAAATCTATTCTAGTAGACGGTTATATGGAACCAACTTGTCATTTTCTCCTTGGAGCCTATATCCTTGGTCGCTTCAATCGATTGAACTTTGAGTGGCACAAGGGAGGAGCACTGCAGACAGCATGGCTCTATGCAGTGTGGAGGGACAGACTCACTGGGAGGAGGTGGCAGATGAGCACCGCAGATGGCACAACCCCGTGCTGGGTGGAGAGACTAACCGAGGAGGTGAGGATGTACGATACGGGGGAGGAGACTGTAGATGGCACCAGGAGGGCAGCCACACGCCGGTCCAAGGGACCTCATCGGGGACCCGCGCCGAGGAAGGGATCTCACTGGGGAAGGAGGTGGTTATGGAGTGAGACGGCCGGGGATCCACGCTAGAGGAGGGGTCTCGTCGCGGTTGGAGGTGGCTACGGAGGGATCCAGCCTAGGGAAGAAGCCGCTGGAGGAAGCTGCCTGGTCGTGTAGGATCCAGAGCCAGGTAGGAGGTGTGGGAGGAGAAGGGGTGGGCGCCAGGAAAGGAAGGAGTCGCGCACGAGAGCAAAAGCAGTAAACCCTCAACCGATGCATAGGGGTTGAGGGGTGCGTCCATTGGAATGAGATCGGGATTTAGATTTACGGGTCCTCTTAGTATGATAGTTTGAGTAAGAACCCTATTGAAGCTGTGTCGTTTGTGTGAGCCGTTAAATTTAGGTTTGGGAGGTCCGAATAGTTAGGTTGGGCACATTTAACCTAAAAACCGAGGACAGGACCGGACCGGGCAGAACTGAAACCGAACCGAAACGTCGATTTTGTTTCTTCGGTTCGGCTTCTGTTTTTGACATCTGGGAGCTTCGGTTTTTGGCTCGGTGTTCGGTTCTACCATTAAACCGAGCCGAAAAAACCGTTCAAACCGATGAGCACTCGTCCGTCCAGTGGTCCAACTGTCTCTGTGCCCGTGCCTTTTCCCACCGTGGCCCAATAACTCACCAAGCCCAGCAAGCAGTAGCCCACCGCGTCCCCTCGCTGCCTCCCATTCACTCGTCTCATTCCAAACCCTAACACTGACACGCGTGCCCACGAGATGCGGCGGCGCTGCCGGTGTGAGTGGCGAGCGGGGACCGGGCAGCAGGGCAACGCGACGGCGCGTGCGAGCGGTGAGGCGGCGAGCAGGGTGCATCGGCCGCGCGTGTGAGCGGCGAGGATGCGAGCAGGGCGCCGCGGCCCGTGGCTGTGCACGCGAGCGGTGAGCAGAGCTCTGCGGATGCGCATTCGAGCACCGAGCAATGCGGCGCTAGCACGACAGTTGAGCGGCGAGCGGCCGCCGCGGATGAAGCAGGAGATAAGTTCTCTGGAATCTCGGTTCAAACCGAAGACTGAACCGATGAAACCGAAACCGAAATTGTCGATTTCTCCTCTTCTCTGGAACCGAACGGTTGCAAGCTTTTCCAAAACTGAATTTTTCCTAAAGCGGGGAACCGAGCCGAATTATCGGCTTAAACCGAATGCCCAGCCTGACTGAACAGGGTCTCTACCGGAGTTATTTTGAGCATACTAATTCAAGCGGTTCAGAGCTCAGTCTCTGAGGCTCATGTATTACTGCGAGTATCCCTTTATTATTTCTATCGAATCTCAATGTTTTTAACCCATCGATTTCCCTCGGATTCGTTGTTACACAACATTCTAACTGGGTGCTGCATTCATGCACCTGCAGGGACGGTATGGACGGCAACGGCGCACATCATCACGGCGGTGATCGGCTCCGGCGTGCTGTCGCTGGCGTGGGCGATGGCGCAGCTGGGGTGGGTGACCGGGTCGGTGACCCTGGTGCTGTTCGCGGCGATCACCTTGTACACCTGCGGCCTCCTCGCCGACTGCTACCGCGTGGGCGACCCCGTGACGGGCAAGCGCAACTACACCTACACCGAAGCCGTGAAGAGCAACCTGGGCGGCTGGTACGGCTGGTTCTGCGGCTTCTGCCAGTACGCCAACATGTTCGGCACCTGCATCGGCTACACCATCACAGCCTCCATCAGTGCTGCGTGAGTCGTCGTCCCTTTCTTTTCTTCAGCCAACTACGTACTACTATGAACTGATGACTGACTGACATTGTTGCCTCAACCTCAACTAACATGCTGCGGATGACATGGCATGAATATGTACGCCTGCAGGGCCATCAACAAGTCCAACTGCTTCCACTGGCACGGCCACGACGCCGACTGCAGCCAGAACACGAGCGCCTACATCATCGGCTTCGGCGTGGTGCAGGTCATCTTCAGCCAGCTCCACAACTTCCACAAGCTCTGGTGGCTCTCCATCATCGCCGCCATCATGTCCTTCTCCTACTCCACCATCGCCGTCGGCCTCTCCCTGGCGCAGATCGTCTCGGGCCCCACGGGGAAGACCACCATGACGGGCACCCAGGTCGGGGTGGACGTCGACTCGGCGCAGAAGGTGTGGATGACGTTCCAGGCCCTGGGAAACGTCGCCTTCGCCTACTCGTACGCCATCGTCCTCATCGAGATCCAGGACACGCTGCGCTCCCCGCCCGCCGAGAACAGGACCATGCGCCGGGCCACCATGATGGGCATCTCCACCACCACCGGGTTCTACATGCTGTGCGGCTGCCTCGGCTACGCCGCCTTCGGCAACGCCGCGTCGGGGAACATCCTCACCGGGTTCGGCTTCTACGAGCCCTTCTGGCTCGTCGACTTCGCCAACGCCTGCATCGTCGTGCACCTCGTCGGCAGCTTCCAGCTCTTCAGCCAGCCGATCTTCGCCGCCGTCGAGGGCGCCGTGGCGGCGCGGTACCCGGGGTCCACGCGCGAGTACGGCGTCGCGGGCCTCAACGTCTTCCGCCTCGTGTGGCGCACGGCCTTCGTGGCCGTCATGACGCTGCTGGCGATCCTGATGCCCTTCTTCAACAGCATCCTCGGCATCCTCGGCAGCATCGCCTTCTGGCCGCTCACCGTCTTCTTCCCCGTCGAGATGTTCATCCGGCAGCGCCAGGTGCCGAGGTTCAGCACCAAGTGGACAGCGCTGCAGAGCCTCAGCTTCGTCTGCTTCCTCGTCACCGTCGCCTCCTGCGCGGCCTCCGTGCAGGGCGTGCTCGACTCGCTCAAGACCTATGTGCCATTCAAGACGAGGTTGTGAGCTCTTGCCTGCGACGTTTGTTAGTTACTCTATGTTTTGTATGATTCGGCCCTGTGATCAAAGACATGTAGCATACTCGTGCCTCTTTTCTAGTGGCACCGAAACAGAGACTGGACTTGAGGAAACTCTGCCAGCTTAGGTGGTGTTTAGATGCGAAATGGGTTGAAAACTTTCCGCGAAATGTTTTTAAGGTGAAAACCCAATTCTGCAAAAAAATTTCAGACCCTGTTTAGATGTACCTGAAAACTTTTGAGCTGTAACAAAAGATGACATATTTGCCCATAATAAATGATGCTTTTGGACCATTAATACCAGCCATGCACATGCATGCTATGCATGCTGCTCGGCATATTTGCATGTACAGAATCACTCATACACAGAAACCATATAACTCATGTACAAATGTTCAATGTCACAAGTCCATTACAACTGAAGGCACCAATCACTCATAAGCATTACAACATAAGCATTACAACATATAACAAACCAATCACTCATACACAGAAACCACATCACTCATGTACGAATTTTATGTCCTATTCATCAAAGCAAGCACAATTGAGTCACGGAAAGCATTCATCAACGTAGATTCATCCCTTGACGACGAGGCCTGAGTTTGTGGCTGCGATGCCAGAGCTTCGGGTGGCACATAATTCTCATCACAATCACAACGATCAAAATCCTTGTCCACTATGCCACTGCTCCTAATAAAATTATGCAGTGCCATGCAAGTTACTATTATTTGGCTTTGCACATGAGGTGCCATGGCTGCCGGATGAGTTGCCGGAGAATGGGACCGGCGACCGCGACGGGGAACCGATTCAGAAGGTGCGGTGGATGAAGATCCACGCGTGCCGCTGCCGGAGAGTGGAGGCGGCCGTGGGGCACGCGGAGCGCCGGAGTTGAGGCCCGCGCGGCCGGCCATGCCGCCTCCTCCGCCGTCGGATCGAGCCGTTCGAACGCCAAGGGTACGCCCGGAGGCACGGACGCGCACGGGAGAGGGGGAGAAGCCGCCCTCGCCATCTGCTTCGTCCTAGCCATAGTGTAGGAGGTTCTCGTACCTCCCCATTCCGGGCCAAGCCTCGCCGTTGGAGTTGAGATCGAGGGAGGAGAGGCCGGCCCGTTGAATGCTGATGGAGCTTGAGCTAGGGAACTGTGCCGGTGGGTCGAAGTAGAGGTTGAAAGCCGACGAGTGCTCCGGTTGGGAGAAGAAATCGCGGGTGCCGTCGTCGTTTCCGTACCCGCCGCCGTTGCCTTCGAATCCGTCCATGAGCGCTCGGACGCGGCTTGAAAGCCTGATCTACGCGCGGAGAGGGCACGACCGGCCGCGGTGAAGGAAGTGTGGGGAAGAAGGTGAAGGCTGGCGATGGAGGAGGTGGGGGAGAGATCGAGAGGAGCGGCTGCGAGGGAGATCAGCGCGGCGGCAGTGGAGGAGAGTGGCGGAGATGGAGATGGGGAAAGGAAGAAGGAGAGTGGCGGCCGAGCGAATGGATAGGGTAGGAAGGGAGCGGGCGAGGAGTACAGGCGCGTCCAGGCCGCGGACCGAGGCGAAAAATTTCGGATTCGGAAGTCTGGAGTTCAAAATGTGAAATTTTTTTGAGGGGAACTTTTTGCACTTTTCACACCCATGTTTAGTTACATTTTGCAAAAAGATGACCCAAAATCCAAAATTATTTTGCAAAATAGGGGAACTAAACATGTCCTTAGTTATGCGGTTGACCTTATGAAGTACTCAATCTATCCCAAATTGTAAGACGTTTGACTTTTTTGACACTAAGTTTGACCACTCGTCTTATTCAAAAATTTATGTAAAATATCACTTCTTTCGTCGTGGTTTGGTTTATTAATAAAAATTCTTCAAGAATGACTTAAATTTGACTATATTTGCATAAATTTTTTGAATAAGACGAGTGATCAAATTTAAGGCCAAAAAAGTCAAACGTCTTACAATTTAGGATGGAGGGAGTAGTAGAATGTTGCTGTCGAATGCAACCAAATGAATAACGTTGGACTAACGTCAACCGATCGACAGTTTCGCTATTTTGTTTGACACCACCCTTGTCCAGCAATAATAGGCGTATGTTGATTTGAGAAAAGTGAAACTAAGCAGGTTTTTGCAAACTGAGCAACTAGGTCTATATATCTGGAATAGCTCCGTTCCATCTTTTGCAGCCATGGATCGCTGTACGAACTCTACTCTAGAAAAAAAAATGTAGAGCACGTTGAGACCAACTCCAGCCTTTTTTTAATGCTTATAAGGGTAGGGTTTGACTACTGTGTGTTTATAAGGGTGAGTGCGTGCGTGTTGTCGACGTCCGCGTTGTGCTGTGTAATTCTATAAAAAAAACAGAGTCCGTTCCACGAACTCTGCTCTAGAAAAAAAAATAGAGTTGAGGACAACTCTAGACTTTTTTTAGCACCTTAAGGGGTACTCTAGAAATGTAATTTCTAACCTTAAGGGGTACTCCATCTTTTCCAACCATGCTCTCAACTTCACTAGCTAAGCAGGACCGTTCTCCGAACTCTACTCTAGAATGGTTTCGGTCTTATACATACGTGAGGAAGGTAATCAAAAAAGAATTCCTGTAGACAATTTTATTGAATCCTATGAATTCTTTTGAAATTTCTATAAACAAGATATCCTATAGAAATTTTGAAGGAAAATTAGCATGAGGTCCAACCTCAAGTTTTCATTCCCTTTATATCTTAGAATTTAGACATGTTTGTAGAGCTCCACTCCCCCGATTCCTTGATGGAGTGATTCTAGTGGAGGAGCATGGTGGGGAGCATGCGAGAAGTAATTCTGGTGGGGATTGAATGGGGAGTGGGGTTTTTAGCTCCCAACTCCTAGTATAAATAGAGAAATGATTCTTGCCAGATAATCACCAGAATCTATTTCTCTTTTCACCATATGGTAGAGCTTCAAAAAATCAGCTTCGAAGAAGCAGGGAGTCGGGCCCTGCCAAATAGCCTCTTCATGTATGCTTCATGTGTAGCATCTAAACGCTTCTAGGAATGCCAATAGGAAGCAGAATCCATTGAAATCGAATTGATTGTTATAAAATTCATGTATGAATACTATGACTTCCTGTGTTCCTAAATAATACGATCTGTCTGATCTTCATGTGTGGGAGGATACAAATTTGCAACCAGTCGTTGCAAACTCTTGGTTAAGTCTTCTTGCTTGGCTCACGATATTTTCTGTAATGGCAATCATGTTTTATATGTTCATTGCAAACACTGTTTTTCTAATGGAAATAGTCATTATGTCTCAATAAGATCTATTAGAATTAGAAGAAAAAACACGAACAAAAAAAGTTGGTTAGGTACCTAGTGGTAAAAACTACCCACTAGAGTTCAAGTATCAACTTGGCATAGGTGCTCATATTTTTCTGAATTTATTTCAGAATTCAACCACTATTATTTTCTATGGTAGACGACGTGTCTATCGACAACGAGGTGCCTATGATGATTTTGTCAAATCTCAAAATCTGAGTATTTGTCTGCAGTGGCGTTTGAAGGATCTTTGTCTAATGAAGGAGGGGGTTTTGGAAAAAAAGGAAAAAGAACTAGAAGAAAAGATGGGTCTTTCCTTTGAAGAGCACCTCCAAAAGTCTTTCTACAACTTACTCTCTAAATCATCATTTAGAGAGTCTTTTGCATAAAAATCGCTTTCTATGTCTTTCCATTCTCTAACCGTTTTTCTATATCTTGTTTGCACTCTATAGAGCCATTCTTGTTTTTTTTTTATCTTTGGCCAGCGAGAAATCCGAAATAGAAGATGTCTATATTTGGATAACCAATTAAAAAGGCTGTTGGAGATCAATATTTTTTTCACCAAAATCTCCATTCCATGCAATTAGGAAGGATATAGAGAGTCTCGTGGAGTTGCTCTTAGAAAAAAAAAGATGGGTCCTTATCTAACGACAATGGAGGCGGTGGATTAGGACACTTGTAAAAATTAAACCAAAAAAATGATCCTATATCGTACTATCTAGACATGCACTATGGTTTACCTAGTGTTAACTTTTTTGTGAGAATTAACTGGTCCTAATTAACATATCATTTGGTCTAATTTTACGTCAACACATAATACTAAGTATTACTCCCTCCGTTTTTAACTCACAGGTCACTTTGATATTTCTAGATACATAAATTTGATGTACCTATAAATATACTGTATATGTTGGTAACTATCATGTAGCTAGAAAAGTGAAAACAACCCACAATAATTTAAAACGGATCGTGTACTATACAGAGATTAATAATACGCCGGACGGCCTGTAGGCCAGAGGTCCGAACCTCTTGATTTCTGAGAAAAAAAAAGTCCGACTCCGACCCGAATTGGATGGACCAAGCAACAACCAAGCAGCGCCTATAAATCGCGCTCCGTTCGTTACCAGCGGCCACAATCGTTTTCGCTGTAGCCTTCCGTGCCAATCCCATCGATGCCTCCAACGCGACGTGCCCGCTCTCCCGCGGCGACGCCGCCGCCGCCCTACGCCATCAAAGGGTGGCTGTCCCGCTGCCGCGGCTCAACGAGGAGCCGAAACGGCTGGCGCGGCGCCGCCGGGGCCGACGACGACCCCCTGGCCATCCTGCCCGACGACCTTCTCTACGGGTCCATCTTATCCCGGGTGTTCTCGGACGCCGCCGACATCGCCCGCTGCGCCGCCGCGTGTAGGCGCTGGGGTCGCATCGTGGCCGCGCGCGGGGCCACCACCATCTGCCGCTCCCTGCCGCCGCCTGACCGGCTTCTCCCCCACCTCGCCCTCGGCTTCTTCCACGGAGGCACGGACGACGGCAACACCAGGCGGAGGCGGCTAGCAGCTTCGTCGCAGCCGAGCCCGTGGTTCGTGCCCATGGCGTCCGCCACCCGCCTCATTGGCTCGCCGTTCCCGGGCCTCCTCCTAGGCGGCAGCCTTTTCCACCACGCGCGTCCGGTGGCGTCCCGCAACGGCCTCGTCGTCCTAGAGCTCTGGAGCGTGGGCGCCCGCCGTGCCGAAGACCTCGCCCTCGCCGTGTGCAACCCGATGACGGGCAACGTGGCCCTTCTCCAGCCCCTCGCGGGCCCCGGCCACGACTACGCATGCGCGCTGCTCACCGCCGACGACTTGCTGGATGAACACGGACCGCCTGGCCCTCGCCGGCCGGGACTGTTTTTCAGCCTTGTCCTGGTCTACAACCGCCGCGGCTTCACAGCTCTGCGGTTCTACACCACCTCCTCGTCCTCGGACGGCGACGGAAGCTGGGGGCCGGAAGCCAGGAAACCAGGCGCCAAGATTAAAGGCCACACCCTACGTCATCTAGGCCAGGCCGTCGTGCTCGCCGGGGTGGCCTACTGGCCCATGTACCTAGGGGCTCTGGGCGTGCGCCTGGACGGCGCTGGCGCGGGGGTCGTGGACGTGTGCATGGTGCCATACTGGGGGACAAACGCCCCGCCGGGCAACCGGCTGCTCGGCACGGTGCCAGACGGGAGGCTGAGCTTCATCAGCGTGGGCGTGCTCAAGGACATCTTTAGCTTCGAGGTTGACACCTTGGACTTGCGAAGCATCGACGACATGAGCACGGCGGCTGACCGATGGGAGAGGCACAAATTGATCGACCTACACCAGCTGAAGGTGTCGAGGACGACGCATATCAAGTTGCGGTGGCTTTGTGAGAAGAGTGGCACGCTGTTCTTTACCGTCGTCGGGGAAGGTGCAAGCACAAGCGGCGCCTTCGCCTTGAACCTCGCGACGATGTCGTTCGAAAAGCTGGCCGATGGCGCCGAGTGCAACTCTTGGACGAGCTTCTGTGGATATGAAATGGACCACACCGCACTCATTGCGTCCATCACAGCTCGCTTCACTTAGCGACTACCAGCTAACCTCTCGTGAGAGAAATCTAATTTTAGAATGAAATGGTTTTAGTTATATAATAGATATATTACGCTTAATTTAGTTCAAATATTCATCTCCGGAGAAGATAAAGCAAGTAATTTAGACGGCTTCATCTTCATCCTTGTCGGTCTCAAATGAGTTTTTTTTTTCCGCAAACATGCACATTGCACCTATTTCATTAAGAGGATAGCAAGTTTTACACGGTGTGACCAAAGGCGAGCGAGATGCCCCCAGTTTGACACCCCACACAGAGAGATTACACAGATTGTTAGCGCATGACTCTAATCATGACCAATTTATATTAAGATATATTACTCGATTCTTTGATGGTTTATCTGTATTAAATTGGTCAGAGCATTCATACGTACAGTAGCAAACCCATACTTTTTTTTTGTGAATTAGCAAACCCATACTTTGAGACCATCAATATAGACCTTTTGGCATGACCACACAAGCACCTGCTTTTAATTTTAGAATAAAATATTTTTCTGTTGCTCTTTTGTTGCACGATGTTTTCCTTTGCTACCTGAGGAGTACGTTCATGTTTTTTATATTGCTGATGCATCGACTATGTGTCCGAATCCTCCAATAGGAGTACGCCGGCCTCAGCTCCTCCTCCCACGATTCACCCTCTCTTTAGTCGGGAGAGCCCGCAGGAGCTTAATTATCTCTGTACAACTAAAACATTTGTAGATGAATCATCTACTCGGTCAAGCGAAATTGCTCCGCCCGGCTCCTTCGTGCACTCACCTGCGACAGTTCCCCGACGATTTTTTAGTGCGTCGATAGGTGGGGCCCTTTGGTTTCCTCTCATTTGCTTCTCTTCATCCGACCGCACGCGATAGGACACCCGCCCTTGGCCTCCTGCCCTCCCAACACCTAGCCTCCCTCAAATTAACCCTAGCCGCACTCCTCTTCTCACCTTGCGATTCATGATAGCGGCTGCCCGCGTGGCCCCTCACCTAGCTGATGCGATGCACGCGACCCCCTGATGAGCACATCAACACCATTTATACATCCACTGTCGACGAAATATGGTCGGCAGTCCACCGAGGGGGGTGCCCGTGGTGGTAGATTATCGGTAGACGGTGCGTGTAATCAGGAACCAGATGGTTACAGAGGCACAAGACACAAGATTTATACAGGTTCGACCGCCGTGTTGGCATCATACCTACGTCCTGTGTCTCATTATTCTGTATTGATTGAGGTATAGATGGATCGTCCCCTGAGGGGTCCCCTGCCTCTCCTTATATAGTCTGGAGGAGGAGGGTTACAAGTAAAGTATCCTATTTGGTACTATTACAATATCTAGTACAACTTGTAATCTTGCCGTGCCCGCCTCGATCTTATGGGCCGGGCCACCTCTGATGGTGCGGCCCATATCTTGTCTTGAGGATACCGGGGGCCATACCCCCATAGCTAGTCCCCGAGCGCCTTGTATCCTTCGAGTAGCGTCGTCTTGAGCTTGCCAGAAGGATGTAAGGGGCTCAAAATAAAATTTGAAAAATATTTCCCTCGAAGTGTGTCCACTTTGACTCTGAGTAAAAAAGAGACACCGTCGTCCTTGTAGAATCGGGGGTGTTTGAACCATCAGAGCGAGCACATTCACCGCAAGGTGAAGTGTGCCCACTTAGTCCCCGAGCCTGGTAGTAGGTGACGTAGGCACATGGTGCCAGGGTCTAAAAAGAATTCCCAGTTAAGTTGAGAATCCAATCGTCGTACAGACGATACGAGATGCACCGGTAGGTGCATCGTACCGATGTAGTCCCCGATCTTCCTGGAAGGTGAGGTATGAGCCTTGTAGCAAGGTGTAAGTGAGAAAATATCCCAACTGTATGCGAGTCGCCAGTCGCATGTAGTCGAGACGCAAAGTCCCTGAGCCGTGGTCGGAGAGTGGTCGAGGCAGTCCCCGAGCATAGGTCGAGGAGCGAGCGACGAAGTCCCCGAGCCGTGGTTGGAGAGTGGTCGATGCAGTCCCCGAGCTGTGGTCGGAGACTGGTCGAGGCAGTCCCCGAGCACTGGTCGATCACTTTTGGCTAGATTGCTTGGATCATGTTCACGTCATGGTGACGTAAGCCCCGCATAATTTGCTTGCTTGCTGATCGGCTCTTATCTGACTAGAGTCCGCTCTCTCTACCACGCAATCCCGTGCACCCGCGGCAATCCCGAGCCGGGCTACCATGTTGACAATGGCGCTGTATGCCTCGGACACGACCTTCTTGCCATGGGGCTGCACGCGCTCATACACAGCCAGGTGACCCGACGGAGGCGTAGTGTTGAGCGAGAGCGAGAGCATCGCGGCCGCGGGCTCCTGATCAAGCGTGACCTTGCTTGCTTGTCTGACGTACATGGAAGCTATAATTAGCTTGCATGGTGGTGTAGATCATGACATGATGTCATAACGCTGCTTTCAAGTCTCGTCGTTGATGCATGCCGTGGTGAAGCTTTGACTTGATTCGCCAACACGAGATGCCACGGGATGATTCCGATCTCGCCGCTAGTTTTAAGATCGGATCTGATAAAATTTGCTGCAGCTGAGGTCGCCTGGCTTCTCGCCGACTTGCTTCCTGGTGTTGGTCCCGGCCAAAATCCAGGCAAGTCGGAGCTAGATGCTTGAGAGGTGAAGTCCCGTCGCAGGTAGCCGGACGGTTGTTGTCACCGTAACGTCGAGCTCGTAAGGCTGTTGTTGTAGGCTGTTGTTGTCGTAGGTAGCCAGACGGTTGTTGTAGTCATAACGTCGAGCTCGTAAGGCTGTTGTTGTAGGCTGTTGTTCTAGGCTGTTGTTGTCGCAGGTAGCCAAACGGTTGTTGTAGTCCCCGAGCTTGCTGGAAGGCGAGGTATGAGCCTGGTAGCAAGGTCTAAAGGAGAAAAATATCCCAATTGTATGCGAGTCGCCAGTCGCATGTAGTTGAGACGCAAAGTCCCCGAGCTGTGGTTGGAGAGTGATCGAGGCAGTCCCCGAACACAAAGGCGGCATCAACAAGTCAGCTGGGAGCGCCGTCACCTTCAAGCCAACCGGCGAAGCCTGCGGTCTCGACCAGCCAGGGCATCGGCGGGGCCATCTTCTTCAGCTCGATCAATGCCAGAGTCCCTGAGACCCGAGCACGATGTCAGGCCTGGCGAACAGCAGGTGCCGCGTGACCCGACCAGCCAATAGTATAGGCTATAGCTGTGGAAGAAGATGTAGTTGTGTTATTGTAAACTTGGACCCTTTCAGGCAAGCTTGTAATAATGTAACTGTATATCTGCATAAGCTTGTTTATTTTGTAGAAAATGTATTTAAGCTTGAATATCATGTTGGTGTAACTAAGTGAGAACATGTTAGCGTTCTGTTTAGTTGTACCAGTTTAGTCGACACGTCATCCTGAAAGGTTTGTACGGCCCTGGTTTGACTCACGGTCGGAGTGTGAGGTGTAATAAAGTATGATGCTGAAAGGTTCCCCGAGCTTGCTGGAAGGCGAAGTATGAGCCTTGTAGCAAGGTCAAAGAAAATAAATGCTTCTCAACTGTATGTGAGTCTAAGTCACATGTAGCCGAGGAGAACAGTCCCCGGACTGTGGTCGGAGAGTGGCCGGGGCAGTCCCCAAGCACAGCGTGGGGTGAGAACGACGAGTCCCCGAGTGTAGGTCGAAATCCATGCAATATAAATATATAGAACGATAGTACATGATGTACAAAATAAATTATGGAGAAAAATCGGCGGTGAAGAAATAGCGTATGACGCTCAGCCGTCATTTGCAAATGAGCATGATGTGATAAAGCAGTTGGTGCTTTGTAAAAATCAGTGTTAATGTGAGGTTTGTGTTTATACTTAATATAATCCGTCCGATCAGTTAGTGTGTAGTTGAGTCTCCAGCCCTAGCTAGCCCATAGTCCATAACATCGAGCGCGGAGCCCATGCACGTGTAGGAGGAACATGCACACCAAGGAGCCACTGCCGACCACCCATAACGCAGAGGGCAGACGCTCGTGCACGTGTAGGGAGGAGTCGGAGACAGGGCCGTCTCTGGAGGTGTCCGAGCATCAACATGACTGTTCAGGGTTCGAAAAATCGTTTGGAAAGCAAATATGGAGAAAACAGCTCGGAGAAACATTATGGCGATATACGGAGATTGGAGAATATTTAGAAGAATATTAAAACGTGACTTAGCTTTAGACAGAAAGTCTGGTCGGCGACGTATGACGTTATCTGGTCGGCAACACGGGCAGCTCGCTTGTCGGCTGGAACGGAGTTAATCTAGTGTTGGAGTAGGACGGACGTAGTCGGAGCTCGGCGGTGTCGGTCCGCGTACGAAGACGTGCGGTCGATCTGCTTCATACATGGAGGTGTAACACACAGCCTCATACGTGGATGCATGTGTACAGGCAAGTCTTGGTAGCTTGCACGACGGTGTAGATGCAAGTAAGCCTGCACGTGATGTATGTATATGCCCATGGCGGTGTAGATGCAAGTAAGCCTGCACGTGACGTATGTATATGCAACTTGATCTGTCGTATCTTGGTTTGGCTTGCATGTTATATTTAAGATGGTATACATGGACAAACGTTATTTGAAGAATAATCATAACGAGGACGTTGCGGAGAAACATCGTAATGAAAAATTATATTAAATATAAATATTAGAAGTGTACTTATCTTTGGATAGAAATCTGATCGGTGGCGATGAAGTTGTCCGGTCCTCGAGCTTTTCGACCTATCGTCATGACTGTGGTCGCGATTATCGTAGCGCCGTTCTTCGCGGCGATCATCATTGCGACGTGGTCTGGTGGTCGGAGCTCGGTGGAGCCGCTCGGGACGTGGTCTGGTGGTCGGAGCTCGGCGGAGCCACTCAGGACGTGGTCTGGTGGTCTGGTGGTTGGAGCTCAGTGGAGCCGCTCGGGACGTGGTCTGGTGGTCTGGTGGTCGAAGCTCGGTGGAGCCGCTCGGGACGTGGTCGGAGCTCGGCGGAGCCACTCAGGACATGGTCTGGTGGT